TGTATTTCAGGTTCATTGATTAGCATAATTCCAGTCACGTTGTACAAAATAATTTCTTGACCAGAGAACAAAGTCCCTGTATATCTTAAAGTTGTTAGAGTAATAGCCCCTCCTTTATCTTGAATAGGAATATGTATCAATTAGACAGGCAAAGAAATAGCTATTACAAACTAAACACATAGAAACAGTTACTAAGGAGTCAGAGTTTATAGTACACAGAGAAACATTTTAGACAAAAAAGGGTAGATAGCTAAGTTAGACATCACAAAGGCCTTATAATAAATCTCCTATTACCTCTACTCAATCTAGCGTATCCTTTTGCCCCATGACAAATTCTGAGAAACTTTAATATACAATAAGACATTCAAATTCTGTACATACAGCTATTTCCAATTGTCTGACTTATGGCTCTCCTGGTCAAAATAATCTTTGTTTATTGTAACTGAATCTATGGGAACTTTTGTACTTTTCTTGGTTACCTTTGTATTAATTTTTTCTGCTTAACCGATCATGCTATGCTGCAAATGTTAATCACTACATAAAATAAAAATATAAAAACCTGCTTGTACTTGCAATAAACGGAACAGAGCTTCACTGTCCTTTGAGGCGTGTTGTCGTCTGTTACCATTGCCAACGCCTTACCCACCTTTGGGACCCCTGGACCCTGCTGCGGCTGGTCCGTGGCAAGCTAACACGGCAGAACTAAATCACCCCGGTTAAATTTAGCGCTGGCACGTGTGGAAACCCCGAAACTCCCGATGAAACCTGCAGAAACCACGAGGTCGACTCGGCAGCCTTCCACAGGCTGGTCCTCATAAAGAGAAGCGAATCGGCCGGCAAACGGCTCGCACAGAGAACTCGGTGTCTGGAGCTCCAGGCTGACGGTCTATCGGAGAGCTCAGGGCACGGCCAGCGGCCCCCACACCGCTGCCCAGCACTAATATTCTAGTAGACTGGCCCCCCGATGTGCCCGTGTACAGACACTACTGACAGGGGCAGGGGTGAGTGCAGGGGGTCTCCCTCAAAGGTGGAAAATAGCCCCGAGGGTGCACAAACAGCTCCTGAGGGAACTCGCCAAACGCCGTGGCAACAAGGACTAGCCTGGCGCAGCGTGAGACGCTGGTGGAACGTCCACACTGAGAAGTCAAGGTTCTGATGGGAGAAGGGCTGCCTGGCTCCCAGAGATCGGCGGGCCCAGGGCTGCCCCCCTGACTGTTTTAGCCGGGCTGACTGCGGAACAGCTGCCGAAGGGAGACGCCCCGGCCGACCCTCAGCCAGGGCAGAGATCGCCTGCTCTGCCCAGGAGCAGCCCAGACGGCCGGGAGCTGCCCTTCACTCGGCACCGAAGTGTCTTTCTAGGTCCAATGCCGCGTGATCCCACGCAGTCCGGGAACTCACCCCCGTACCTCTCTCCTGCCAGTCACACCTTCCTCTGGGCCCTCTCTGCTTGTCTCAGAGCTTCTGTTGGCCCCCAGTGGACCCCAGTTGAGTTCAGGTTCGGACGCCACTTTAGACCACCCCAGGGGTCACCTCCCCAGAGCAGTTCTCCACTTTCTGGGTCTTATCAATGCTTCACAGCACAGGAAATGCCTGGCAGGATGGAATCTTCCAGATTGCCTCAGTTAACACCCTTTGCAAGGGGAAATGACACAGACAGGAAGGGGCTTATCTCAGCCACAGTCCTCACCTCTGGCTATTTCTAAGCAGATGGAAAGTACGCGTCCATGTTGCAAACGTCCTGTGAACATCTGTGCCCATGTGTTCCTGTTTGTCCCGTAAGTATTCACTGGGCATCTACTGCTTTCAAGGCCCGGTGTTGCTGCTGCTTCTGGCTCCTGTGTCTGCGAGAACACAGAGGGGAGGAGGGGCCGGGCTCTGCAGGGAGAGGGGCCCAGGCTGGGCCTGGGGAGGGAGCCCGTGAAGACAGCAGATTCCTGATCCTCACGTACAGCCCCCCCCCATCCCAAGCCTGTTGGTGTGTTGACCCAGTGGAAAGGAAGTGGGTCCAGCTGAGGTCACCAGAGACCAGCCAGAGGAGGTGTGAGTGTGGGCGACATCTCCAGTGTCCACCCAGGCCCCTCCGCATTAGGCCCACACCAGGAGGCGATCGGCAGACGGAGAAGCGGTGGGTGCACACCTCAGCTCCCTGGCCTCCCGCGAGGACAACCCTGTAAGGTTCCACGCAGAGTCACCGGATGGACGGAGCCCCAGGTCCGAACTGACCCGTCTTCTCCTCCACCCAGCTCCCTGCTCTGGGACCAGCTTTCGCTTGAATGTCTTCCCCAGCCAAAGACTGGCAACTGAGTCACTGGCTCAGGTCCCGGGGAACGCAGACCAAGGCAGAGCAGGAGGACGTGTCAGGGTGGCCAGTTTGAAGTGTCAAAGCTTACTTCAAGAGGAGGAGAAACCGGGGAAAAGGCGAGGGCTTGAGGGTTTCTGGAGTTTTCAGCGTGATGGAGGAGGCCGGGCTTCGCTCCACGGGTGGGATGGTTATTTAAGGCGATGCCCTCGCGAGGCCGGAAGGCGTGGGGGCACACCAAGAGGACAGTGACGATGTGCTCACTGCGTACGTCCCTGCCAGGCCTGGCCCCAGCTGAGCTCACGGCAGTGCCTGTCAGAAACCGCCTCTTCTCTGGCCTGCTTTGGGTCCGCACTGCATGGCAGGTCCTTCTGCCGCAGACACCTGTGTCCCCAGAGCAGGGCGCAGCGCCAGGGCAGCGAGCGCACCTTACTTATTGGGTCTCCGCTGCCACGCGTGGGTGTCGGTCTCACAGCTTGTTGGTGTGGGATGGGACCGTTCTCCCCGCAGTGCCCAGAGCGGTCAAACAAGGTGGCTCTGAACTGAGACGTCTGTGGACAGAGGCGGTGCCTGGCTCACCTCTGTGTCCCCGGGGCCTTGCCCAGCACTGTGCACACGAAACAGACACTTAAGGAAGGCAGGCAGGGGGTGACAAGGCCACCCAAAGCGGTGTTCTCCACCCTTCCCCCAGGAGACCCCCGAGAGCTGGGGCCCCAGGCGCCCTGTGAACCTGGAGCTCTAAGACCGTCCCTGCCCCCCAGGACTCTCACTCAGGGCTCCTGGGTTCCATGGATGCCACTTACTCTATCCCTGGCCATTGTTACTTGGAACCCTACCCTCAGTCACTGCATTGGCAGAACTGAGGCACAGAGGGCATCTGGTCTCACGTGAGCCCCTGTGAGGCCCACACAGATTCCGTATTCCCAGGAGCCCTCCTGGATGTAGTGGCTGGAACCCCTGCCTCTCCAGCCTCAGCAGGTACAGGAGCCACCGCAGGCTGCCTGGGGACCAAGCCAGCCCCCCACCGGCTTCCGTGGAACACGCTGCCCGGGACTCTGCGGTGCCCTTACATGTGTGTTGTTTGCCCCCAAGGTCATCGTTGAGCAGGGACCCGAGGGGGAGGCATTTTCTCTGGGGCACTTCACAGAGAAAGTCTGCCCACCTGCTCTGGGAGAGCCCGGAACACTGGCTGCTCAGGTTCCCCAAACCGCTGCCGCCGGTCCTGCCGGGCATCTCTGAGGTTCAGCTCCTCTGTCCTGTGCCAGCCAGAGCCCTCCCTGTGGATGGAAATTGTGTCTGTTTATGTTACATACTATCCAAAGACTCTGCCGCACCCCCACCCCAGACGCTCCTGAGTATATTTCACAGCGTCTCCCCAGAAGAGGCCCCGTCATTTCCCAACACAGATCCAGTGAGAGGGTAGCAATAAGCCCATCAGAGACCCATCTTTGAGCCTCTGGTTCCCACAGGAAAACTGTACAATCAGCTTCCTCTCAGCTCCCCTTTGGCCAAATGTCTCAAAGCAGGGTGAGCCCTGAGCCGCTGAGGTCCAGCCTGGGAGAAGCCCAGAACTAATTGGAATTCCAGACACTCCCCCAGAATCGCCTCTTATCTGCCCCAACACCAGCCCCTCCCCAGCTGCAGAGTTTCAGAAATGAGAGTTTCTGCCTTCCTAGACTATTTTATCTCCACGCAGACTCAGTTTGCAGAGTTGGTGCGGCTTCCCGGAATTCCTCACACCACACCGAGAATGCTCACTGCCAGGCCCTGCACCTCACACCCGGTGTCCCAGGGTCCAGCACCTGTGCACTGAGCCTGCAGGGCCGGCCCAAGGCTCTTCCAGGGACAGTGTCCACACAGCAGCCAGGACCCAGTGGGGACCGACCCAGAGACGCCTGGAGCTGTGCAGTGTGGGGGCCCTGGCCTGAGGGCTCGGCTCCTCAGACAGTGCTGCTGGGAGCCCGGTAGGTGAGCTGGACAGCAGGCTGCAGAGCCGAGTCTCAGGTGGGACTCTTGCTCTCGTGGGGCTTGCACTCTCCCGGGTTGGACATCTGGGTGAACACATCCGTTCGTTCAACATGCACAAATGAGCACCCGTGTCAGGCTCAGAATGAGAAAATCCACCCAGAATGTAGAAAATCCTTCTCATTGTGAAACCACATCCTAAACATTGAAACTCAGCTCCCCCTGCAAGGTGCAGGTGTAAGCCGATCCTTTGTAATCTGCATAATGCCAGGTGGGCATAAGGGGTCTTTGATGGACAGCGGCCAAAAGGCTCCAGCCAGGCAGGCAGTCTGCCCGGGACCCCACCTCGAACCCCGTTCCACTCCCTGGATCCACCGGCAGTGCTTCTGTGCTCCCGCTGTGTCAGGCACAGAGGCTGAAGAAGACAGAAGACCCACCAGGAAAGGCTTAGAGGCTCTTGAAGCAAGCAGACTGCGAAAGCCAGAGTGAGGGTGAAAGGAAGGTTAAGAAGCATCTTCTCCAGTTATCCCTCCAAACACCCAAGTTCCCCTAATGTCAGGAGACCCCCAAAAGCAGAGACCGAGTGATCCGTTTATGCCCCTTGGTGGGTGGAGGCCAGAGCAGCAGCCATGGCAAACGGAGTCTGACCTGTGACACCCCGTCCGTCGGTGCCATCCCTGTGGGCGGCAGGGCAGGGCCTCTGCCACCCGCAGCAGGGACCCACACAGATGAGGTCATGGGGGTGCTCCAGGAACCATGACAAGCTGTACCATGAGTCCTTGACGACACCCCCACCCTCCTGCGTAGCCACAAGGCTGGATGCAGAAGCCGCCTCTTACTCGGCCGCAGACCCATGGCACCATCGTGGACACTGGCGCGCTATAGAGATGAATCGAAGACGAGCTAGGAAGCCACTCGAGGTCTCGATGAGGACGTGGTTGGCACCCTGCCACACAGCCGCACGATGCAATGAAAAGTGCACACTGATGTGAAGCGGTGCCCGCAGAGCGCAGCTAAGGAGAGAGAGCAGCATCCCGTTGAAACGTGCCTTTTACGTACGTGCACATTCACGGCCGTACCTGCACAGGCACATTCCTACAGGCAGGTGGATTTTACTTCTGGATGCTGACGTTACAGGCGATTGATGCCTCCCCTTGCTTACCTTTTGCTCTAAGTGTCCTGTAATGAACACAAATGACTCCCGTAATAAGAAAAACAATGAAGGGCATTTTTAAAACAAACAAATGGATGTGTGAAATCAGCAGGCTCAGTTCAATTTGAAATAATAAGAGCTGTCACTCAGGAGTGATTCCTACATGCTTCCCAGCGGGCAAAGGGCTCCCAGCAGCTTTGCTTCGGCTCACAACTGCCTCATGAGAAGGGTATGGCTGAGCCAGGGTCGGAGCTCAAAGAGAGAGCCCAGCGGAGCTGAAGTGGCCAGCCCAAGGCCACACACAGCTGGTGACTAATGTGGGGAGTCCCATCAGCCCTGGCTGATAATGTCTCTTCTCTCGACTGCTTCCTGCTACTGCCTGGTGAAAAGGGGATGCTTTTGTCACAGTCCATTTGCCGATTGGGCTGCTGTGACAACTACCACAGCCCGTGTGGCCAATCAACAATGGAACTGCATTTCTCATGGTGCCGAAGGCAAGAAGGCCACAATCAAGGTGCAGGTAGGTTGGGTGTCTCGTGGGGGAGGACCTGCTGCCTGGCTGACAGACAGTCCTTTTCTAACTTTGTCCTCACACAGTAGGAGGGGCGAGGGAGCTTTCTGGGGTCTCTCTTCTAAGGGCACTAACCCCATTCGGGAGGGCTCCACCCTCTGACCTAACCACATCCCAAAGGCCACCACCCCCAGTCCTATCATATTGGGAAATTAGTTTCATCCCAGCAACTTGGGGGCACACATATAACTCCAGCTTTGTCATGCTGCCTGAAGGCCTCCGAGTACCCCTTAAGCTTGTGGTTAGACTGGGGGGATGATCCAGCAACCGCCTTCTCCTTACAGCAAATGCGGCCCTGGAGGCTGCCGGAGGCCAGCCCGGTCTGAGCTGCTGGTGTGCCGATACTCTCGCATCCCAGGGTGGCGCCGCCCCCATAGCACAGGCACGAGTCCCGGCATCTGGCATATGAGAAAGGTGAGCCACAGAGGGGTCACCCATTGTCCTGGGCTGAACGGTGTCCGCCGAAATTCCTGCCCAGCCAGAATGTCAGAAAGTGACTTTATTTGGAAATAGGGTGTTTGTCCATGTAATTGGTTGTGATGGGGTTATCCTGGATTAGGGGCAAGCACTAGGTCCGATGGCCATGTGAAGACACGGGGACACACACAGGGAGGAGGTCGGTGTGAGGTGCACCCAGACATCGGGGGTGGGTGCCTCTTTAAGCCGCAGAACGCCACGGTGGTCGGCATCCGTGAAAAGGTGGGTGAGGCAGGAAGGAACCTTCCTGGAACTTCAGAGACGCCCTGGTTTCAGACTCCTGGCCGAGGTGCGAGACTGGACGTTTCTGTTGTTTAAGCCACCAGTGCGAAGCACTTTCTTGCGGCAGCCTCGGAACAGTGCTGCACCCACATTGCCCAGAGTCACACGCCTCGGGGGCCACAAAGCAGGGATTGACACCAGGTCATCCTGCTCGGCAGGGAGTCTCTTCAGCCATCACCTTTTGTCAGTACTGCATGCGTCGGTGGTGGGAATTAAAGAGAGTACAGCTCCCGGCCAGGGGCCTGCTACAGTGGAAGCACCCACAGGTGGTGACTACCGTTAGTCTTTAATGAGGTGGAAAGGCTCCTGGCCTCATTTTAAGGGAACACGAGCATGATTTAAAGTTGTGTATAGGGTTGGATCTCAACCAGGCCTCACAGGGTGTAGAAAACGGATTGAGAGTAAGCCCCCGAGGCTTGCCTGTGGGCCACGGGCTCCCCACGATCTCCTTTCCCCTCTTTATATCCTATTGTTCAATTTTTGTCTTCTCAGCTCAGTGAGAATGCAGGGCCTTTTGATGTGATTTGATGGCTCTTTCAGACTCCGAAAGTAATGTAAAAGCAAGTAACAAGCCCTCTGATGCAGCAACAACCGTGAATAATCGCCCACCCACCTGCTCGGCTGCACTGCCTGCTTTCCCTCTTCGATTGGAGCTAACGAGCAGGGAGGCCCTTCACTGCAGTGCAGGAGAGCCTGCAGCTCTGCCTGCTGGGCTGGGCTGCGCGGGCAGCGGCCCCACCCCGGGGGATTCTCTGTCACTGGTTCTCCAGGGACAGTGCCCACAGGGACAAGGGCCCCACTCCAGGGACCGAGGAAATCTTCCGCGTACTGGGAGCCGGCTGACACAGTGAGGGCCCCTCAGGGCCGTCAGCGCACCATCCCCCAGCCCACACTCGATCAGGACACCTCGGTTCCGTGCCAGGACCCACTGGGGAGTAACATCAGGGACAGACAGGCTCAAATCCCTGCCCTCCTGGAGCTTATATTCTTGTCATGGGGCCAGAAAACAAATGACGCAGTCGAGATTCTATAGAATAGCCATAAAAATGCAAGGAAGAACAAAGGCAGGTGTGGTGAGTTGAACAGTGCCCCCCCCCAAAGTTCACGCCCACCTGAGACCTCACCACGTGTGTGTTTTACACTTAGCGCATCTCAGCCTGGACCGGCCACGGTTCAGGTGTCAGCTGCCCCGGCGGTTGGACGGCGGTTCTGGAGTGTTGTACGAGTGCTTTCAGTCTACTTTGTCACAGCCTTGAGGTTCCGATTCAACTCGTGTAATTTATGGAATAGAGCTGCCAGGCAGCCTAATTAGCAAAGCGCATCCCAATTTCCAACCCTTCAGCCAGATCCAACTTACTGTCTGACGGGAAAGTCTGAGTGCGGTTTAAAATCCCCATAGATGTATTAATGCACAAGAACTGCTCAGCTTCTCGTTCCCGAAATCGAAGTCCAGGAAGGATGGACAATTGGGTACGTGGATGAGTCGACGGACGGGCGGAGGCAGAGAAGGTGAGTAGAGAGCAGATAGGTAGATGGGTGGGTGGATGATAGATAGGCAGATAGACGGGCAGAGAGACTCAAGACAAACAGACGACGCAGAGACAGCTGAGGATGCGTGACGTCTGGACAAAACGAGGGGCCTCTGCTTTGAGTGTTTCTCAGCAAAGCTCCTTTGCCTTTCAGTCCCCGAACTCCTCCGGGAGTTCGAGGGCCCAGAGGCTGGGTCCAGGACGAAGGGAAAGGACGGCTTTCTTCCGTGACTCGGGAACGAAAGCACAGTGCGGTTCCTCCCTCCGGATGCTCCGTCAGTCGGTGCGTGGGGTTTTCTCTCTGTACCTGGTACCTTGTAGACAAAGATGGCCACTGTGTGTGCCCTGCAGGCAGAACCTCAGTGACAAGCGTAGGAAGAAGAGGACGGAGCAGAGTCACCTGGTCAAGGTTTTGCTCCTCTACCCGGGAACGAGGCCCCTCCTGGTTCCCCTGCCAGCATCCGGTTGGTTATAGCCATGTGACTTAGACACTCCTAGCTTCTCGGGAAGCTGAGAAGTAAAACAGTGAACTTCCAGCCTCTGCAAGAGAAGGCAGGTGAGAAGGTGGCAGGGGTGCTGGCGTGTGTGAGCCCGTCTGCAGTGCCTGCCAGGCATGCGTTCCGCAGGCAGGGCTGACGGACCCCTGGGAGCTCCCGGGGGAGAGAGGTACAAAGAGCCCGGATACAAGACACCAAGGCACGGCTAGAGATGGGGAGGGCAGAGCAAACATGGGCCCAGAGGAGTGGCAAGCAGGGGCTGGGGTGGGACCAGGCAGAGCTCAGCCCTCTGAACAGGGCTGGTGGCGGTGTGAGCACCCCGCCAAGCCCCTCCAGCCCAAGGCAGCCCGGACCCAGGGGGCCAAGCCTGAAACAGGAAGGGCTCCCGAGGCAGGGACCACCGTGCAGCCTTGAGAGCAGTTCCATTGTATGTCTCGTTAGAAGTAGAAAACAGCCTTCATGAAACATTTTTTAAAATACTGGAAGAAAACAAACACAGTAACGACAATCCCTTTGTCTTCAGTGCTGATATTTTAGTGACTTTCCATCCACTTTTTATTTTTTCTGATAAAACAGACTGTTTCCAGTGGTCAGAAGCTGGTGTGTCTGGGGTCCCAGGGGTGGAGGTTGCCCCAAGCCCACCTGGTTCCACAGTGTCGGGGCCCCGCCTCCCTTTTCTCTCTCAGCATCGCCAAGCACTGTCTCACCTCCTTCTCAGATGTGCGCTTTCCAAGGTGCGCCCTGTCCGTGCATCTGCAACCCCAGATGAAGAGACCTCAGTGGAAGGGTCTTTGCACAAATCTCTCATCGGCCTGCATGGGACACACCCTTCAGGGTGAGCTACACAAGATCATTGACCAGTGAGACACTGTGGCTGTCCGTCTCTTTTCAAGATTACAGTTCAACTGAATATATAGTGACGTGTCTCGGGTGAATGAATGAGTCTCTGAGGGAGTTTGGTTCATCTACCATCTGACTTCACCCTCTGCATCCACCCTGCGTGAACTCAAGACGGAGGATGACATTATGTGCCTTTTACAGATGGGAAACCTGAGCCCAGAGAACTGAAGTGACTAGACCCGGAGGTTTCTGAATCCTGTGTCTGGGTTCAGCCAGTCTTCACCAAAATTAATTAACACAGGAGGAACTTGGAACAGAACTTGGCGTGGAACAGCATCAGGTAAGAACACACATCGGTCATTGTTAAGTTCACTATTCTTATCTGGGGTAACAGCTGCCACTCACTTCTGATCCACCGGGTTAGGCTGTGTGGCATCTCTGTGAAGTCTCATAGTTGCCAGGTGGACTTTAGGTGCCGTGATGGGGGGAGGCGGTTCTCGTGCAGAAGGCTGGCGTCCCAGCCCCAGAGCTCACCTTGCCTGTTTAATGCTCCCTTCAGAAGCCAACGAGCTTCACACTAAGCGATCACGCACTCCTTTCGGCAAAGGTCTAGACACGTGGACACCCACTGATAGAATTCAATCTTCAAGCCACCGAGAGTTTTTTTAAAAGGAAGCTTTATTTTCTAAAACCATAAGCAAGACATGTTCATTGCAGAATTTTTGGAAGATCCATTAAATTTGGAAAGGGAAATAAATATCTTATAGAACTGTGCCTCCCGGAGACGACCACTGTGACATTTTATTTGATCTCCTTAATGTTTATCTTGTTTTTTCCTATGCTATGTCAATGCTTTTTAATTTTCTCTCCCTTAAATTCTTTCAGGAGTGAATCAAACCTTTACTGCCTCATATAAATATTTTCCAGCTCTCTTGAAATGTGTCATTGTTCAGTCTTGTAAGACACTAAGCATATCCAGGAAGCATCTTGTGACACATTTGCATGGAAAACTCCAGAATTTTCAAGGCACTTTTAAAACTGTGCAAGGCTGAGTATTATTTCATAGGGCATTAAGGCTTGAAATGTAAACTTTTCACAGTTTCCCCCCTTATTTAATTAGAAGTTCCAACAAGCAGACCTTGAGTGATGGATCCGGGCATGGACACCGGCCGGCAGACCCAGCATGGCCCGTCCTGACTTTGCCTGCTGAGCTCACGGTGCACAGGGGTGTCGGAGCTGGAACTAAGTGTGGGAACAAGTCATCTCTGGTGCGGTGCGGGGGAGACGAGGTCCTGGGCGGCATGTGCACAGGCGGCCCCAACACTTACCTCAGCCTTCTGTAATTCCTGGTTCGCACATCTGTTCCTCGCATTAGACACAGGTCTTCAGAGCAGGAACCCTATCTTGGTGGTCACAGGACCCCAGGGCTCATGTGATGTCGGCCACAGGGAAGCTGCTCCAGCAGCGTTTGCTGAACTCGACTCGGGCTGGGGGGGTCTCATCAGGCGGAGGATGACCCTAGGGGACTCAGGAGGTGGCTCGGTCAGAAGACCTGATTTATGCCACCGCCGTTCATTTCCTGCAGGTGACTGACCCCTGAGTTTCAGTTCCCTCTTCCTTCCATGGGCCCACAGTGCCCCGTTCTCTGGCTGTGGTGGGAGTGACGGAGGAGAGTCCGCATCCATGTTCCCTGCATAGAGCTGGGTGCACACCGTAGCAGTGGCTCAGAGTGATCGGCTGGACAGCGGGCCCAGCCTCTCCTGAAAGGCCAGAGCAGAGAAGGGTCTTGTCAACCCTCCTGCAAATGGATAACCCTAGAGACTCAGAGCCCCAAGTCAGGAGACAGAAAGCTCTTCGACCTTGAGGTAATCAGAGAGCTGCAGCCTCCTGGTCTCCTCACTCCACTCCCTCCTGCATGAGGTCCGCCTCCTGGTGGTCCAGATGCACCAGGGCCAAGAGCCTTTGGAAGCAAGAAGCCTCCTTAGCGAAGCCCACAAGGCCTTTGTGAACCAGCCTGGCCCCTGCCATCCCCTGAGCATTCAGTCCTGCACGCCGAGAGCTCACAGCTCTCTGAAGGCAGGAGTTCCTCCCCTGGGGGTTTTCTCTGCCTGAGGTGTCCCTGTGCACTGTCCAGCCCGGAGAACTGGACTAGCATGAGAGGGTCACTCCCCTTCAAAGGCTACGCAGTGGTCCCTGCTGCCCACCCTACGGTGCCTTCCAGACTCTGTTCAGATGGCTCAATTCTACAGAGCTTTTCGGCGGCACCACCACCACCCCGACTACCCACCCAAAGTAGACTCTGTCAGGTCTTCACAATGGTCTGTCTGTCCTAGGCACAAAGCTTGCATGACCTTGCCGTTACTGGGCCAATGCTGGTGTGCATGCCTGCCTCACCCCTCGGGCTGCGAGCTCACCGGGGCGAGGATGGAGGGTTACCCCCCTTCTCATCCTCTGCCCTGCTTATGGCTCGGCTCGCAGCAGGAGCTCAGAACCAGCAGAGAGCGCCAGCAGCGGGCAGGGTGTGAGTCCCCGAACAGGCTTTCTCGGACGCAGGTCTGCAGCATGAATTTATGCCCTGGTTCTCCCAGCACGGGCACTGGAATTTTTAAGGCATCTTTCAGTGTCAGGCTAATCACTTCAGACTGCCCACAACCTAGGGGGTCCTTTTCCTTAGGGCCTCATAAAAACATCAGAAGTTTAGTTGAGAATGAAGTAACCACACCAAAAAGTGAACTATGCCAAGTTAACCTGAATCCAATAATACATTCAGCGTGCATCCATTTTGCAGTTTTATTTGTCTTAATTCAAATCCGCTCTCATTAGAGATACCTCAGTCAGGTGTGATGTAGAAATAGCTCAATCTTTCTTTTCTCTGGCTTCCTCTTCTCTTTTATCTCTCTGATTCGATGTTTGTTTGTTGTTTTATACCTGCCAGCGATCTGCAGAGGGATGGCTGATTTCTTTGTATGAGGAGTGAAATATTGGTTGGCCAAATAGTCTGTTATGTTTTTTCCATAAAATAAAAGGCGCATTTTTCATCTTCACCAATAACGTTATTGATTTGGATATTTTGAGTATGCTGGCTATCTCCCACTATTGACTTCTAGTGAGTAAAGGCCAGGGGTACTGTTGAACATCTTCCAATGCATGAGACAGCCCCACAGCAGAGAATTATTTGGCCAAAATGTCAATAGTACAGGAAACTTTGCAAACCACTTTTGACACATTCTATCAGTCACAGCACCTTCTCCATACACTGCACACGCATTTTTTTGCATTTCAATTGTGTTTTTACCCTTCTTGAAATAATAAAACTTAATACACTGAAAATGTTGTGTGTTTTCTTCCATCTTCAACATTAAAATGGCTACACAAAAATTCACCAATTTTGTTTTTTTTAACGTACGCTGATATGACAGCTGTCACAATGCAATCTCACAAAACTGTCTCTCATGAAGTGAAAGACAACTAAGCACTACTAGAGCCATTGTACAGGAAAAAATATAACGGACCTTTTGGCCAACCCAATATATACTGCAAAGGAGGCCGGTTCCATTTGTTCACAGTTGCTGAGTTTAAATTTTAAGTGCAGCGTCTCCATTACTATCAAGCTGCTATACATTTGGTTGCTACTACTGTTCCTAACTGGCCCTTGCACTGACCTGTGCAATGTTATAGTCCAGGGAAGAACATTCTCTTCCAACACCTGCAGTTGAAGGGACAGGATAGTAAGGTGGCCCCTGAACACAGTGAGTGTAAGACTCTGAGGGTCCTACGGGGAGATTCCTGCCGGGAACCGGAAATGCAGCTAAGGATCCATCCCTCCATTTCCTCAGGCGTCGAGTCAGCCTGGCTGGCGCACCAGGGAGGTTCCAAAAACAAGCAGCTGCCAGATGTTTGGTGGAACAAATTACCAGCCAGCGTTTGAGCTGCTGGTACCAAACTGGAAAGCTCTGTCGCAAGTCACAACCACGGTGAGGCTTCCCATGACATTCCCCCATCCCCCCAAACCCAGCCTCGTTTCCTCTAAAACTGGGGGGCAGCACACCCCAAGGGAGCATGGGCAGACACTTGTCCAGCACCCAGAACTGTGGCCTTCCTCCACTGAGTCCTGGGCGGGGCAAGGACTTAGGTCAGGCAAGAGGGCACTTGCCTCCCATGTGAGATTTAATGGGGCTGTGAGGAAGTCAGCCATCAAGATCAATAATTCTCAGGCCCTGGCTGGGGAGCTCAGTTGGTTACAGCATTGTCCTCACACGCCAAGGCTGCAGGTTCAATCCCTGGGCTGGGCACATACTGAAATCAACCAAAGAATGCATCAATAAGTGGAACAAGAAATTGGTACTTCTCTCTCTCTCTCTCTCTCTCTCAAAAAATCAATAAAAATGGTCAGTAATTTTCAATACTCAAAAAACTCAAAATCAGCACCAAAACTTCATGATGAACAAAATCTCAATCTCTTAACTGAAGTCAGGACCTGGTGGGGAGGAGGTGGGACGCAGGGAGGGAGGCAGACCACATGCACAAGCGGAGTCAGATCCTGGCTCTGTTCAACCTTTTGATATTTTGTTTCTCGTGGATGTTTTTGCAGTTATTCTGATTATTTTTTTTTAATCTGGCAGTCAAATACTGATTTTGATGAAGGAGTCTGTGGGGCCTCCTTGCATTTTTCACTAGTTGAGTCCCTGGGGCCCTCGCCCCAGGAGCAGGGAGGGCAGGGTAGGCTCCCGGCCTGACCTCAGAGGGCGGCCTGGTGCTGAGCCAGCTGGGCCGACAGCGTCGAAGGTGGAGAGGAAAGAGGGTGCCCGTCCCTGATGAGAGGGGCTGAGGCTGCCTGGACCAGCGGAATCAGCCCCAAAGGTTTTGGATGGCAGAGAGGATGAGATCTGACCCCCATGGCAGCCACAGCACCCACTTGGAGGAAAGGGCTCCCCGGTGTGGACGGGGAGTAGGGCGGGGCAGGAAGTTATGGGCCAGTCACCACAACACGTGCACAACTGTTGTGGAAGAAAATGTAAAAAGAGCTGGGGGTGATCTCCCAGCTTCCTGCAGAGGAGTCTCTCTCTAGGGGTTCCCAGGAGGCAGCAGGCACCTAACAGACCTGCCCAGAGGGCCAGAAGGCACACCTGGCGACCAGGTTTCCCGTGCAGCCTGGGACGAGGAGGAGAGGGGCCGGCCGTAACCACATCCACATCTACACGGGCATGTGGTTTGCAGACCACACCCCCCTCCTGTGTTTCTGGACCCGAGCCCCTCTGTAGAGCCAGAAACTCTCATCTGTTGTGTGGCTGCAGAACCAGGAATGGAAAATTCTAGACTTGATTCTCAGCCAGACCTGCCAGCCCTATTTGCCTCCTCAGCCAGGTCCTGTGACTTCCCAGCTTCCCCCAAACCTGGCTCCTCTCCGGTCCTCTGGGCAGGGGCAGTGGGCCCCCACACAGCTGCCCACCCCGAGCGAGGCCCAGCACCTTCTCTCACTTCCCCTTCGCCCGCCTTCTCTCGCTTCCCCCTCACCTGCCACACCTGAGCGTCACCCAGCCAGTGGCTACACAGCAGAAACCCTGCCTCTGTCGCCCCAGGACGAAGTGCCAGACAACCAGAAACCGTCCCTAGGCTCCCGAAACCAATGAAATGCTTCATACCAGCCAATCCCCAGCCTGCTCACCCTGTGAGCATCTCACCCATTCCTTTCCATGAAGACCATGGTAGAGGCCTTGCCCCCTTTCTCCACTCCTGCTGCCCCCGAGTGACCTGGTGCATCCCCAGTGGCCCCTCATCTTGGGAACTGAGAATATCAAACCACGGGTCAATGGCAGTCCTCTCCTGACCTGCCGGCCTCACCCTACCTGAAGGACAACAAA